ATTTGTTGTATATAACATACTAGTTTAAATGTCCCTATACAATATTCAGAAATATACAATTTTTGAGTAAATAGTTGTTTACAATGACTTCGTTTCAGTTTCCATAATTTTGAATGCATAATTATTATTCAGATAGCCAAAACAACAAGACGTATATAAATATATAAATTAAACAATGTCATATTTTAAGATTGTGAACTTTTGCATCAGTTAAGGATTAAGTATATCTAGGATACGTCATAAAAACAATTACGTAAGAAATAAGAGTTTATTTTATATAGTGTAAGTGTGCAGTGGCCCAACCGTGGGCCACAGTAAGCAGAAAGAATAAATATACCGCTTTTGGATACATAAGTTCGGTTTTCTAAAGTTAATCCTGATGTCATCCTCTATATAGAGAAGCCCGAATCTTGCTCATAGGACTTGATTCAGATAACTTAATTCGGTATAAATCGATCTCTTTGCTCAAAGATATAAATAATAATCAGACTTTCGTTAGTTCATAATTTGTTACAATATACAATTCTGACCAGAAAATAAACACTAAATTCTTTTTTCATATCTATTCAGTTTATGGATGCTGAAGATAAATATATATATATATATATATATATATATATATATATATATATATCTTTTTCGACTCTACTTAGTTGTAATATGTCTTCACTTCAAAACATTTACCATTTTTGTCTTTGGTGACACTGCTTCATCAGGTATGTATTTGATGCTTGACTTTCGATATGATAGCATATTAATAATTCGGGGAAACTTAAAATCAGGAGAATACATTTTGCAGTATTTTTTCATATCTGATCGTTAATTGCAACATCAGCTTTATAAACACTTTGATGAAATTAGAAAATTAAACTTTGAAATTCTTATAAACTTTGAGTAATAATCTGGATCAAGAAAATACGACCAATTTGTTTAGATTCAGCAGTAAATTCTGATCAGCCTCTATTGGTAGATAGTCACAATAGGGCTATTTTGTCATATCATATGAAATCAATTGATGGATCATGGCTGGAAGTGGATGTAACGTTTATTCTATTTAGGACTAGTCAACTTGATGTGCCAGTATCTCAATGTTGATGTACGTACTGAAACTTGAACCCAGTACTTTTAACTTCAAAAATCAATGGATTGTCCGTATTCTGAAATTTACTGCTAGCCACGGTCCCTCTATAATATAAATCATTAAAAAGCATTTTGTTTCCTTTCTTATTCTATTTATTTCAATTTTCTGCTGGCAGGCATTGTAATTACAAATGCTGCTACATACTACTTAAATTTGTCAGAGTAAGCAGCATGCACCAAACTATTTATCTGTTAACACTTTCAGTATAGGGTTGTGGAAATTGTTGATTTTTAATCGGGATCATGATGCAATTAATGTTAGACCACCATTGAAAACCTGGAAACACTGGATATGCATTTCTTCTAAGTATGTGACTCTCCAGCAGTATATATACATGATCTCATATACGGAACTCGAACCCAGGACCTTCGGTCTCATGCGTGAACGCTTAACCTCTAGATCATTGAGTTGGTATTTAACTGTGTTAATATCTGAGTTAACATTTTATAAAAAAGTAATTTTTTTGAGCTTCGCTAATCAAAACACAATATAAATCAAATGTTATTACTGATATAACTAACGGCCCTAATAATATGATGTGCAATAAGTGTTTATTATATTACATCCATGTATTAGTACATTTATTATATTTCCAATTTAATCAAACAAATAAATCAACTAAGTTCAATGTTATAAACGGAATGTTCTTTGATATTCTTCTCTTTTATTTTCCCAAGAAAACAAAAAGTACCTTTTTTTATCCATTTGTTTACTTCAGATGGATTACTTTAAATAAGGAAGTCTAGTATAAATTTATTGGTTTCTATCAATCATTTTTCCTAAATTCTTATCATTATTTTGATTGAATATATCACGATCATAATCAAATTCAAATGTATTTCTTTTTGTGTGTATAATTTATCCATTTATTTGCAATGGCTACACAATGAATTCGAATTTTCCCTCCAGTTTAAAAAACAACAACAACAGATAAACGATGACGGTAACTATAAACGTTAAGTATTAGTTTACAGTTTGACAAAAACAGAAGAAAAAAAGGAAAACACACTTATCTTTTTCTTATTATTATTTGTCCGAGGAAAGACATAAACACATTCTATCCATAAATATTTATTCACATGCTTGGTTAGTTTTCTATAGATAAGATTAGCAATCTGAATATGTATGCTTTGATATATCATAGATTGGGTTTCGGTAGTGTGAAAGATTATTATATTTACTAACTTAATAATGAGCAACATTTATAAGAATATTCTTAGACTGTTATTGCAATGAATATGTTTTTTATTATTATTATTTTATAGATAACATTCGTAAATAAAAACCTTTGTTTTTATAAATTAAGTATATAAATATTTGATAGGAATATTCCTTTTATAGGGTATGATCTGTGTTGACAGGAAAAAACAAACAATTACGGTGAGAAATCCGGAAATTTCAGAGGTCTTGATAGCATAGAAACGTTATTTGTTAAGGCTGTAAAACGAATAATAGATTATGGGTGATAGTCAGTCAGTCGGTTATAACCTAGGACCAGGCACATATATGCGTCGGTCCATGTTGTCATAACTCATTAGCACAATATGATGAGCACCGAATTCACAAGAGTAGTTAATTCAATGGTGGTAATATATTAAAGAAAGATTACATATAAGGATACAGTACAGGAAGAAAGAATTAGTTCGTTGAAATAAAGATGGAAGGCAATTTTAATCTCATAGTTTAAGGGAAGACAGAGAGTGTATGCACCTACACTATTGTGATCCATTCTGAGCCATGTCACCCATAGTCTTCAAGCATTGGTTATGATAGTCACGCGTATCCCAACCCCGTAGTCTACATCTACCAACATGGCTCAGATCAAAAGTTAGTGACTCCAAGCACTGATACCACGTTTTGGTTTGGCCACCCCTAAATTTATTTTAACCATCTCCAACACCATTCAGCATTGTGCGTCATGGTAATCGGGATTTAGGCATACGTAACACGTGGCCCAACCATCTCAGTCGACGAAGAATCACAACCTCATCAACTAATTTACCATCATTCTCTAATACCTTGCGTCTAACCTAACTATTACTTACCCGGTGATCCCAGCAGATGAAAGCAATCCGGTCACAGTGAAGGATTTTTATTTTCGTATTCTCTCGATAGTAAACATTTCTTGATGAAGAACTTAATAAATTATTAATAGCAGTAAAGAACTTAACATTTCTTTGTCTACTATTTACTACTTCGGTTTATGTTTTGTACTAGTACAGTAATCCTATATTGAGCTTCAACTGTGGTCTGGTATCTAAATGTTCGCTGTCGACTCGAATTCTTATGATTCGATTCCTGGGACTTTATGGTCAAAAGTTGTTTGGATCTTTCCAATTTCCCATGATAATCTAGCTGTTGTCACCTTATGAATAAAAATAGATGTATCAGCCATTAGATGAGCGCTTTACTTTATATATATATATATATATATATATATATATATATATATATATATATATATATATATATATATATATATATATATATATATATATATATCGGAATTCCTCAGGATTTTGTATGATTTCATTCAAGGTTACATATCGAGAATGTAACAGAAAACTAGAAGAACATAAGCAAAATTCCTAGGGATAGAAAAGTGAAGTAAAATATCTTGGTCATATATTTGAATGTTTTATTTTGTACCTGGGTACATGTTACATTTAATATTTTAAATTTACTTCAATCAACTATTCTTATATGCTAATAACATGATTTCAGATTGTGAGTTCAATATAAAGCTCAGAAAACAATGTTTGGTATACTTTCTTTTTTATCTTTTTACTGGATCAATGATGGATGATTATATTGGGGTTTACGGAGCAAATGTATGTAAGATAAGGAATTTCAATCGAGAATTCCGCTACATAACATTTTATATACAAGTGTATAGCGTTGAAGAGAGTATTTATTGTTGCTATTAATCTTACATTATGACATTAAAACTAATAACATCCTTATTAAAATACCCTTCATAATGATGTGATCAAATTTAGGAAAAAAATTACTTCCTGTTGGTCTACCAAAATCTGTGAAGGCAAATAATTTGAAAAAATGAACAAGTACTACCATAAAATCACTAGAAAGGTCTACTCATATGAAAGTTTTTAAACAAGTAATCTGACAAATATAGTGTATTAAACTTTCATAGGCTAAATAATACTTATTTGATGAATTTCAACAAACACAAGCATTAAGTCTAAAGATTTAATAATATTCTTATTTGTGTGTGAAGTTTATTTGAAGTTAGATATTTTAAGCCTATTAAATTTCGTAGCACTCAATATTCTTATGTCGACATCTTGAACTTGATATTAATCAATCAAGACAAGTTTTACCACTGAATTGAGCTCAGCTGTTAGGATCATCGGGAATCAAGAACCTCTAGTAAGATAACTCGTATTATTCTAAAACTGTATGAAGCCATAGCCATACTTAGAATAAAGAACAGGATTTCTAGTTTAAACGGTAGGGCCTATACTATGTATACAAAGTTAGAGCTCAATTACATATTCAGTATTATTCAGTTTTAAGAAAAGTTCATCAAAGTTCTGGTGGACAGCAGAGATCTAAATAGTGAAACGGATAATAAAATATGACAAACGATCAGGAACGCGCTACTTTATATTCTATCCAAAATATTAAACATAAATTATATGGCTTCGGCCTAGTAAAATCATTTCAAAAATAAACTATCACTTTGTAATAAGCTCTTTAAAGTTCAAAGTTATTGGTCATTAGTTTTTACTGTTTTTCAAGTATCAATTATGAAAATAAAAGAGAGGCTACATGTGATGAGTTAAAAAAAAACCATCTATGAATAATTGTATATATTCATATTAAAACACAAACCTACCTAACCAAACCAGATGGCATATAACTAATTAATGTAATTGCATCAGCTAATGACATTGCAATCATATAAGCATAAGCAGCTCCTGAAAATTGTGGTCTACAAAATATAATCACATTCAATATATTCAATATAAATCCAATAAAACAAATTATAGGTTGAATATAAAAATAAATAATAAATTCTGTTAAAGAAATTGAACAATCATTAAACTTTTTATTATTTAATTGATCACTATCATTAAATAATAATGTTAAGTTCAATAAAGTCTTTTCTTTATGTTCATTATTAGTTGCATTTATAGGGTTATCAGTATTTGCATGACAGCATAGTAACAATAAAATTGTCACATATGATATTATCTCTTTATTAGGTTGAAAATTTAAACTATGAATTTTATATCCAGCTAATAAAGTTGTTAAAGTCATAACAACTCTAATCTATTTTGAATAAGTTGCTATGTAAGATGATTATGTATAGGATTATAAGTCATAATATAATAGAGTGCATAAATTGGATTTATAGAAAATGTTAATTTGATTTAAAGCCCATAGATACCATTTCCCATATCACTTTTTTTTAAATTAGTTTTATTCAATATATTTTAGGATAATATGGAAACTTTACCAATCGTATTATTGGTTATTTCCGAACTGTTATCTTACCATCAATTAACCAATCATACTTAAATAGGTTTGAAAAAGATAAAACATAAATAAATTATTCGTCCATATTAAATGAATTTTTATTGTCTTTTTATAGATCAAAATATTACAAAACATTTGATCAGGTTTATTTAAGATTAAATTATCTTGGTATAGCCATAAAAGATTTTGAAAAAATGTGCTCCTGTATGTGTGTGATAAGGAACTAACTAATGAATTAAGTACCTTAAATACTTTGTCAGTAGGAAGGAATGACCTCGATTAAGTCAGTCAATCAGTGGCAACTATATATGTGGAGTGACTTAATTTGTTACAAATAAAGTCTTGGTTTATTGTTGTTTTTAGATTGTCGTTCAAGACAAGACGACTACAAGCATTTAGAATTCGAAACTTTTAAGCAACACTGAATAAGAGGTTTGGTAACTCAGGATCAACTAAACTGGGTGTAGCACAGTCATGCAGAAATGACATTATATCGTCTTAGTACTGAATCGTCTAGATAAACTGTTGTAAAGAATGTTAAATTATGAAATTTGATGATACCGTGAGGGACCTTGAGAGTATACATCTGAGTACAAGTAAATAACGGTGTCGAGAATCTCTAAGGTTTTCTGATTTCGCTAACGTCTACAGCTGATACAGATTCATCATAATAACACTTTTTACCATGAACAGTGATTCTAAGTTGTTTTACGGAGGCTAATACGTGATGCGAGAGAAAATAAGTAGTTCATCTTGAACATTTGAGATAGTTAGTAGAGTGAAAATAAGTTATATAATACAGTTGTGGATTGATTGAGGTTAGACATTAACACCATTGGATGCCGGCTCAGTGGTCTAGGGGTTAAGCGTTCGCGCACGAGACTGAGGGTCCTGGGTCCGAATCCCGCCAGCGGGTTTTGTGGGTACGAGCTGCTGAGGAGTACCACAATAGGATAAAACGGCCGTCCGTTGCACCCTGGTTTCCATTGATGGTCTAACATCAATCAGTTCATGATCTCAATCACAATACATTTGTTATTGTTTTTTGAAAATCAAGAGTGAAAAACCTGAATCTTCATACTCTCTAGTCATCTTTAAAGATCTGACTTTAAAACAATCATGAAAAATACCTGGCTTAAAGCGTTTATTTGTTTTACGTACAACTGTATTTGCGAATGCTGTAGTAAATGGATCTTTTCAGCTTTGATTATTTAAAGTTACTTCAAATCATAGGCAGAATTTAGCTGAACAAATGTGAAAAATGAAGGGGCTATTGACCTTTGTTTCATCCTAATATGAAACTCCATAGTAATAAGCACCCATGGTCTTGTCAGGAGCACACGTTTTAATTTGGAATTATTGAGTTTAGACCCGACTCTTCATTCCTCAAATTTAAGTCATTTAACGATACTGTATGATCATCGTCCATCACAATCGTTTGTGATACCAGATATTTTGAACTCCAGAGGTCTCAGATTCCCTTTGCAACTGCATTCTTGTTTAAGTTGATTACTAGTGAGCACATGTTAAAAAATAACATTAAATATAAATGAAAATTATCTAATGACTGAATTAAATAAATATTTCCCCTTAAAATATATTTGTCATGTTAGTTTGAAAAGGTTAAGTTAATTTGAAAATAAGACAAAGACAATTGTTTAATCACTAAACTATTCATAAAATATACAACTAGATCATTTAATTTAATACTCTTTGTCCTTAAATATTCTATGAAATTTTTTTTAATTTATGAAACGGCTTTTTACCATTTTGTTTGGACAGTCTCAGCTGTCAGCATACAAATAAAAAAGAAATCATATTTTAATCTAAAGCAATTAGTCCATTTTATTAATTTCGATAGAGCAATTAGAAGACGGAGTTGATCTTGTTTTGTCCTCTATATTAAATAGCAACATTTTGACCTCATTCCTCCCAAGTTATTGTTATTCCAGTGACTTTGATTCTTAACAGAAAGAAAAATATGTTTTTGAAACATTCTTTAAAACAAAATACATGTTTATATAAGCAGATGTTTTTGAAACTGATTGATTAATTAAGTTCTGATAATTTGATGAATGGAACTTTACTTGCTACGCTTTCAACATTATTAATTTAGTTACGATTTTAGCATCATCAGAAAACAGTTTAAAAGACGACGTGAATAGAGATGATAGTGTCATTATAAAATTTAATGAATAATATATTACTGAAAACAAATCAACCGGAGTATGTATGACTACCTTCAATAACATAAGGATTGTGAGAACTAAATCATTTTATATTTGAGGAACCTAATGAAAACACAACATGATATGACAAATCAAGTAAGAACTTACAAAATGAGATAAATTTAAAAATCTATCCAATTTTCATTCGGAATTGTTTTGCTTGAATCTTCCCATTGAGGTTTAAGACTGCAATCGATCAGTTTCTTATTGACATATGTGCATACTGTGCGTATTGCCTCGATATTCCCACTCAGCCACAAAATGATCAATTACAGTGTTAAACTTCAATGGGAAGATTCAAGCAAAAGAATTTAAATTGACTCCATTGCACAAACACATGGCTATCAGGATAACGCGGTGGCGTTTGAAGCGAATGATACTGGTTTCGAGTCCCAGAGTGAGCATCAACTCTGAGATGCAAGTATATCCAACTGACAAGTCTCAAATAGAATGAAACGCGCGTCCTGGATTCCATTGCTAGCCACTATCCGTGTTTGCCTAACCAATTTTCTTTGTAAAATCAAATATAAATTTAAAATGTAAAAATCGAAAGCAATTTCATAGCTCATAACACCATTCGGTCATAAAGAACTAGCAAATGAATTATATGATACATCTAAAATAAATCATTACGTTGAAAATTGATTATCATATCTCACATAACATAAATTATTCTTTAGAATACGAATAATACATATTTCAACTTTAGTTAATTTTGCCATTATCGAGATCTTGAACAATGCGAATAAACTTCAAGTGTCCTTAATCACTCTTATTCTGTTAAACAAATTTCCAATTGGATTAAAATGCAACGTATGTAGCAATAAGAACTCAGTTCTTTGTGCAGACATTCAGTACAAATATATTATCAAGTGTTAAGTTAGGTCATAAAATCGATCTTAATGCGGCACGTTTTGGTCTTGTATAAAAGTTGTCTAGGGCAAATGAATGGGTTTACTGAAGCCTTAGCCATACGAAGATTCAAACTCCTTATATATGTTCAAATATAATAGACACTTGCATTAAAATGAACCTGAAAATGTTGAGTTATTGTCCAAAATGGTTTGTTTGGCTTTCCCCTATTATTTTTATTTCTTACCTACCAGTTTCCTCGGTTGACGTTTATTTCCGAAAACCCTGAAAGTCTTTAATCGTTGGACACTTTAGCTACATAGTTGACTCAGATCTTAGAATCTTCTGGAGGTTTCAGTTTTGCCTCTTTTTAGACACTTTACATTTGGAGGACAAATAAAATTGGAGCTATGGTAAATTAAGAGGATGATCCAGTATAGTGATTAAAATGAGGCCCAGAAACATGTATACAACCAATCCCAAATTTGAAAGCTGACCGTCTTGATCTAGAGACCCTCCATCATTACCACATACAGTTTGCTGATTAAGGAGTGAAAACTATGGTCAAACTGTTTGAAGGTGATATGCACTTAAGTATATTGCATTTAGTCATTCGTCGCGTAATGTTCGAAACTTGATGACCTTAGTAGTTTAAATTGGATATTTATTGAATAGGCTATGGATACGTAAATTTAAGGTGTATTTAATTTGACCACTTGTCTATGTAAGAACATGCACCTAAATTAAGATCACTAATAATGAAGGACAATAAATTATGTAATCAAGTGGCCTTATTGATAGTTATTATATACACATATTATCTACTCTATCTTGTAGATTATAAATTTCTATGGAAGTTTGTTATAACCCAAAGCCGCCGATCAGAAGCAGCGAATTATCAATCTGACCAAGGACGCGTAAAACACGTGCGAGCAGCCTAGAGTCCTGATTGGTCCTGCTTCCCGCCTAGCCCAGCCAGTTAAGTCCGGAACACCAGTCTCAGCCTCTGCAATATGAATCATTATATTTCAAACATACTGAGTCTATATACCAATCAAACAGACCACAACGTAGCATAAAATAGAAAATAACATTAGTACAAAATTTGGCCAAATGTGGCTGTGAATGTATGAGGCAGTGACTAATAGACAGGGTATAATTCAAGAATGGTAAAACGTATAATAATGGTTCATTGATCTAAATAAAACTTAAATAAGAGGAATATGAATAGTTTAGTTATTTAACAACTATACGATAAAAATATACGTTTAGTATTGGTCCATAAAAAGAGCCCAAAATTACCATTCATTATTTCTATCGGGACCCAACAAAGTTAACTTCCATTAAGTATCAATTTTGTATAAATATGTTGCAACTTACGGACTAAAAGTCAAACGTTCATTCATGCTCACGGTACATCTCTAAATGGTTCGAAGAATTAAAATTATCAACAAAAATATGATTTTTTTCTTAGTTTAACTTACATCAATTCCTTTCTCAACCTCACAGGACTACTGGACTGAAATCAAAATTAACTGTCACAGTTTTTGAAATCTTCAAATCAAATATTCACATTGAATAGAAATGTAATAAATAAGGTTAGTGTGTTGTTTCAATGAACTAATGATTCCTTTGTACTTGTTGGATGCTTGATTTCGAATTCCAAATACAGTACACTCGTTTGTGCTTATCTAGTACTTCTTGATCCGATTACATTATTTCTGGGATTCTTAGTTTATACAACAATTCAAATACTTCTAATTATCACAGTTAGTCAAATAATAGATGAAAAAGCTAATGTATTTCAAATAGCATCTTTACCTACCATAATTATTTGAT